ACCATAAATTTTATTAATACACCCACGTATTTATTAAAAAATATTTAATAAATTTAAATAACTGCGCCATAAAACACACTAATAAACCCGTATACACGTGCATAATCAATTAAGAAAACACACTAGTAAAATCACTGACACTTGTAGAATTACACCATAAATTTTATTAATACACCCACGTATTTATTAAAAAATATTTGTTAAAGCACACTAAAGACTAGTAGTAGTACTCTAGGTAACCCGGAGACAAGCACAGTATCGGATAAGTGAAGCCTTGACTCGTACCGGTAAGTGTTGACAGGTGCTATCCGACCTCCTCGACTTCCAAAATAAAACTGAGAGCGTTTGACCTCCCTCTACTGTGAGAGTTATTGGTAGTTGACAACAGCCAATTAGACATCGTAATGGTCCACTGATCGATCTAATTCGATCTCTTGGAGTGATTCGTGATTTACAGTAACCAATTAGACATCATGTAATCGACCAATAGCGTGCAGCCACTATGATTGCATGTTGTATCATTATTCTAATGTTAATTTTTGTATAATTTTATATTTTTCGATTGTTTATTAACAAATTTATTGTTGTAACTATTTAAATTTATTATTTTTTTTAACTTACTTTTGAGGATATGTTGCAAAATGATTGTTAATTAATATATTACGATATATTTTACTGCAATTAATAATTTTTTAGTTATTTATTTATTAAGTTGTTGTTGTAACTATTCGAATTCGTCGTTTTTATTAACTTACTCTAGCAGATATGTTGCAAAATGATTGTCAATTAATATATTATGTTTCTTTTTGTAACTCATTATTATATAAATTAATTATTGTAATTCATTATTTTCATAAGTTTTTCGTACGAATATCTTGTAAATTATCTACGAATTATTGTATTTAAATTTATTTTTATGTAATTCTTTATAATTATTTATTATCGAAGAGACTCAGTACAGTGTGCGAACTGTTTCGATCACATGATAGTTTCGTATTTTTTGAAAGCTTTACTCACGATTTTTTAAAAAGTGACGTCATCAACGAAAATCGAAGTAACGCCATCTCTCCAGCGAACAGGGTGAACTACACGGTTTTGAAACAGCCGTTTCATTAGTTTTCCACACTGCCACTAGACAGCGCCACGTGTACCGTTTTCCTATTTTAATTAAGCGTTTGGTGTAGATGTTCAGATATCAACTGACATTTTATCTGAAATATCTGTTTAGAAAACGTGGTTTGAAGATCACTGTATCGAAAGATACTTAATAAGCATCAAATAAAACGCTAAAATAATCTTTAAATATCAAGCATTAAAGAAATGGAAAATGAAAATGATCCAGTGGTTAAAGAGGTATGTAAATCAACCTTCCTTTTTCATTTGTCTTTAATTTTAGGTTATGTGTACAAAGTGTATACGTTTTATCATATATAATGTGAGTTTTTATAACTATGATAAACAAGTGTATGATATTCTATACAGTATGTTTGAACTTCCTTTATTTTTTGCATTGCCAATACTGTTAAATTGTTATTTCAAATAAGTGAGTATCATGCATTTGAAGGTAAGGAAAAGGAATATATATATCTTTCTTTTTAGATTCCAGTGTTTCTCTCAAAAACACTTGCCGACAAATTATTTATTTTTCAATATCCGGTCCGTCCTGCTGGGGAGGGTTACGATAATGTAACTTTCCTGAAAACTTCAATAAAGCCAGAGAATCAGGAAGTTCTCATAGAAGTAGCAATTGATACACAAAGTGTCACTTATGACCATAGTAAAGGAGAGCAAATTGCAATAAATGCAGATGGAGATGCAAAGAGTGATCAGGATGATGAAGAGAAGGCATTTGATAGGTATTTAAATAATTTTAAACATATTGCATCTACTAATAAGGTATTATCATATCTGCATTAAACTATATATTATGAATTTCATATTACAGCAATCTCATGGATAAAACAGTATTGCAATCTTCTCGAGCATTACCCAATTGTTCAAATTATGCAGTTGGTATTTTTCAAGATGGTGAATTGCATATTACACCTCTGAAAGGGGTAATACAAATGCGTCCACAATTCAGTTACCTTGATAAAAGTGATAAACGTGTTAGAGATGAAGCCAAAAATATGGGTGAAGGTATAATCTTTATGTACATCTATAAAAGTTTAATTTAGTTTAATTACAATACTCTTAATTAAATATTTATTTTTTTTTTACAGAATTTGATGAAGAAGAGGAAGGTCCAAAACAAGTTAATGTAACTTTTGCTAGACAAAAACCAGAGTTTATGAAAAAGATGCAAGAACAATCTTTTCAGCATCATACACAAAAAAGTTTAGGAGAAAGATGGATTCATACTAATTATGTTCCAACAAATACTACACAAGCAGAAGTAAATATTTTTAATTGTTTTGATTACTATAAGCGAGTGAAATTATTTTTAGTACTTATAATAAATATATGTGTAATTGTAGCTTACCCGTTTGGAAATGTTCTGTAACACTACAGACGAAACTGTAAATACATTGAATTTATCGACACGACAATATTTAGAATTACTGGCACCACCAATGAAAGAAGAGATAAGATCAGATGTTTCCAGTTGTACATCTCTTAATTATATTAGGACTTTATCTCTTCTTGATCAAATTAGAACTATTATGAAAGATGGTAAGATTATATGCATTCATTTTTGATTATTGTGAACTAATTCTAAAAATTTCTTTTGCAGCCAAAGTTCTATCTTTTGCACAGTTAAGATTAATTATATCACCAGATCAAGAAACATCAGCTGTATTAAAGTATTTGCAACAGGTAGCAGTTTTAGTGCAGGGAAATTGGGTTGTAAATAGTGAACTTCTGTATCCAAAGGATACTGTTTCATCGCATAACGGCATTCCCGCAGAACTTATGTGTAGAGCTAGAGATTATGTTGTAAGTGTAGTATACTTTTTAGGATCTATACAAGATCTTTCAAATATAATACAAATATTTTATTTCAGTTATTATCCTTCACGGAACATGAATATCTACATAGGAAAACAGTTGCATCAGTTATTAAATTGCATACTGATGAACTTAGGGAAATATTTGCAAATTTAGCCGTACACGAACCAAAAAAGGGATGGCGTCTAATAATTCCACCCAGTAAAGAATTTAGTGAAAGGTATAACTTCTGTTTTGTTACTTGTCTTTTCAGTTCGATTTACAAAATAATATAATTTCTTTAATAGGTATCCTGAAATAGCTCAAAGGCAAGAAATGTTTTGGGAAGCTAAACGAAAATATCTTCGTGAAGCTATGGAAGTACAAAGCCAAATTCCACAGCGTCAGAGGCGGAAGTCGAACAGAGAATCAGTTGGATCTGAAAACGAGGAAAGAAATGTTGGACGCGGAAGAAAAACGTTAAGGGATTCTTCTATGTCGGATAATGATAGCGCAACAGAACCAGTGAAACATAAAAAGACTATACGATCCCGTAAAGTATCGGAAACCACGTGACCAAAGTTGATGCGCGATTAAAATGTTTACTTCTACATGTTGTTAACATATTCCAAGTTCCGAAACTACGTACCTAGATTATGTTATTACATTGTGTCTGCTTTGATACACTGCCAAAATTTCACAGTATATTTGTATATTTAAATGACTTAAGTGAAATATTTTCTAGTCTCAGGTGACACATAAAGAAAATAATAGTATCAATATTCAATAATTATTTGTTTAAAAGAAATAGTTCCACAATCTTTACTATTAACAAGTAAGGGAAATTAGTTCTTGGTTTCTGTATGTCGTTGATAATTGTTAGAATTGATTTTATTTTTAAAAACATTCAAGAATATACAGAAACATGACAAAAGCATAAAACATAAAGTTTGTTGGTACGTATTACAATGTCACTGGTGAATAAGTGGTTAGATACTGTAAAAAAAGTTCATTTATTATTTCCAAGAGTTACTTCCTGCACATTGTTGATCGATGTTGCACCAAAAGAAACATTGACTGAAAAATGACTGATGTTTTTTATTTTATTAAAAATATTTTTACGAACGAGAAATAGTATGATGTGAAATAAATTTAGGTAGAAATATATGTGTATAAAGTAACAGAATATGAAATGATTTGTATACTGTATTTATTACTTTGGTATTTAAAATGTACATATGTATAATTCAAAATGTATTTCCATAAATACCTTTGATCCTTTATTTAAATTATAATCATTTAGTATTTAATAATTTTTCAGATGCAATGTAGTTAGTGCAGAATGTTAATTAGTAATCTCATGAACATGTTTATACCCTAGGAGCCGCTTTAAATCCACATAGAAAGTAGCACTTGTATAAGAACAGGAAATAATAGTAAAAAATTAGTATAACTATGTAAATTTAATGCTAAGCAATGTATATGTACATACACATATCAACATATAATGATTTTGCGAATTACTTGTTTGATACTTGTTTAATCTTTCCGGCGAGTACATATTATGCAATTATCGTTCTTTATCGACGAAACGTGTTTGTAATAAAACATGTTTTTCTTGACGAGAAATTAAAATCACGTTTAGCGTAATTGAACGCTGAAAATTTCATTGCTTAAATACCTTCGTAGAAATTAACTTCAACTACTTTATGTATTACACATTAGTAAGAAACTAATAATACCGTTGTCCTTGAAGTCTTTACAAAAGTACACCATAGCAGTAGACCTCTCGAAGCATATTATTGCAATCGATCTGCAAAACTGCTCACGCATATATCATGAAAAGAGAATGTACTAATAGCAACAGCATACGTTTTACAAAACAAGAATGAGTTAGCTTTTTTTTTACGGAAAAGTAATTTAAAGAGTAAATATCTGTTGATTGTGAAATTGCTGGAAAGAATTTTTGAGTGGGACAAGCGCCAATAATCATAACCACAAAATTCGAACAATTATCAAATGTTGGCGTTCGGTATCCACTCACGCGTACTCGATAGATCGAAGTAATCGATTTTTGCGATTTTGACGGTTAATAAGCGTCTCCTCTTTCCTTGAATGATATATTTGCGCATTATAGGGGCGGAACAGAGGGCGAACGCACTTTCTCTTGTAGTCTGACTCGGTGAAAGTATTTCTTACGCATTTATACATTCAGAGTACCGAAATATCTGTTACTCTATCAGAACCACACCTACAGGATGATAAGATTGACCTTTTCAAAGAATCGTGACGACTGCAAATTATTCGATGTAAATTATAACGTGTTTATTCGACACATCTTGTGTCACTTATAGCGGTAGCCTAAAGCAGATTACAAAATCGTAACGTAACAATTAATTGTTAAGAAAATTGCGATTACACGAGATTTGTTATGCTTTCGTTTCGGTTTTACCTCGTTTAACTTTGGCGTTAAATTGAATCTTTGGAATCGATCAGCGATACGGTAATGCGAATTAATTTTAACAAAATTAGAGAGATCTGTATAATAATATATAATCACTATATTTTTCTTTCAGAAAATATCGATAAGATGAAATTATGCGAAAAGTATGCAAAGTGTAAATGAACTGCACGCTTCGTTTAACAATGAGAAAAGAGAGGTCGATAAACCTGTAATTTGAGGAAAGAAGAAATGGAAAGAAAGTGAATGACGAATGTTGAAACAGTCTTGTCGATCGTTCCCCGATTTCCGTTTGGTTAAAACAATGACCTTCAATATGAGTCTCTGGAAAGAAAGTCCGGACGATCCGTTTCCATACGATTTTCATAAATTACATGCTAGGCAGCGCGTTGAATTCGAGGATTCACACCGTTGGCGAGTCGAAGAATTGAAAAAGGAAAAAGATGGAAAGTTTTTAATTACAAGTGATCATGACTTATGACTCCATTGTCCCCGTGTTTTGATACAGGTCTCGCGGTAAAAACTGGTTTCATTCATGATTTGGTAAGTGAAATAGCCTCGTAAAAATTTGATTTGCAAATCACAGATAACGAAATTTTTTTATTTCTTGCAGTTAATTTTACGAGAGAAGTTGCAGCCTACTTTCGACGATACAATGGCACACTTCGAAACTCGCGATTTAGGTGAAAAGCAATTAAACGTGCGTTTATGTGCAGTGCGGTTATAAAAGGTAATGTCTGAAACGCTCCAAGGCGCGACAAATTTCTCTCAATTTCGTTAATGGTTTTCTTCGATCAACAGAAACGTGAACCTGAACTAGAAGAATAGAAAGGACGAGTCGAATAAGGAATCTGCAGGTGCTGAACGAAGGAATAAAAATTGGTCGTTGCACGTCGGAATTGAAGTCACGTTCGACGAATGCGAATAAAGCTGTGATGTAAAATTGTCGACCTACTACCGAAAGGAAATTTTCGTGTGACGCGTGGTAGAAAGCCATTTCACTCGTTCCCATTGGTATTGAAAGCACTTTGCGGAAATGATCGGTTCTACTGTTTATACATGTATACGTGCGAACAGAAATGTAAAAAGTATCGAAAGACCACGGTGATGTAAGAATTGCGTTCGACCGTGTATTCGATGCTTTTTATTTGAATACTTTGTTAAAGAACCGTTAACAAACATTGACAATTTAATTTCTTTAAGTCAGCTGTATTTTCTGCCTCTAAATGATTTTAACCAATAATTCTGTTTTTACATCAAATCGCGGAACTAAAATTTTGCGCTCGCTTTTGTTGCAAGTACCATGTAGCATGGCTACTATTTATAGGACTCGTTTAACGACTTCACATAGACTTTCAGGCACATTAGTGGTACATTTCAGTATTGTAGTACAGAGTTAGAAATCTTGAGGATTGGTACATTAGAAGTTTAGAATTTTGTAAATTTAGAAACTGTAGATTCACAAATTTGTAAATTCTCAAACTTACAAATCTTGAAATTTCTATACATTAAAATTAGTAAGCTCTCAAATTTGTAAATTTCTAAATATGCAAAATTCCTATATTCAATCTGTAAATTCTTCAAATGTACACATTCAAGATTTTAGAAATTTCCAAATGTTAAAATTAGCAAGTACTTAAATTTGTAAATTTCTGAATATTCAAATTTCTAAGTCCAATCTGTAAATTTTCTAAATGTACAAATTCAAGAATTTAGAAATTTCAAATACCCTGCAATAGAGCTTTCCACACAGCCTTTCAACTATGTATGCAGAATTTGCGAAACGCATAGCCGCAAAGAATTTTAGTTCCCGATTAAGATCGTAGAACATTTCAAAGACCGGTTTCGTTACAATCAGAAAACCGAAGTACAATGAATTGTTATAAAAGTGGAAACACAAGACGAAGAAAGCAGGTGGAATCTAACTTACTTTCCCTTTTTAATTTTTGTCCAAACGGAAGTGATCTGCACTATTTAAAGTGACCGTATTTTATCCTAAAACATGGCTTAGAAAGTTTTTATTATACTTTATCCTCCAAGGAAATTGCGTTCAGCCTGTCGAACATGCTACCACACCTTGGATTTAATTACATCATTACAGGTCTCCTACATTTGATGTAATAACTTGTACTTCGTTTTTCGTTTCCGTTCAAATAAATAAACCTGGTAACATATTTATGTTTATACTTGTAGATGATGGACCAAAGTTTTTGGAGAACACGTTCAGCTATTCATACGAGAGATTGTCTCCCACTACCCCAAAACGAAACGAGATATTACATGGTGGAGGTAACTTTCAGCGAGACATGCTATATAAGAGAATGGAGAACCGGCCGGCCAAGATAAAGCTTGAGTGTTGTCAATTCGTTCGTCGTGCTGTTACTCCTCTACCTTCGTCGTTGACAGGTAAGTGGGGTAAAAAGTACGTTAAATAAAAAGAGGAATATGAGAAGGAAAATCGTGGGACCAGTGAGGATCAAACAGTGCAAGTGTCTTCTTTTGGGGATTCATAATTTCTTAGGTGATATCTGTGCACCATGGATCTCTGTTCTTTATTCATGTGAGCCATAATTGGAAATCTATTTGAACAATTTCTAGGTGAAACTCTGGTTGTAATAGAGCGTAATACAGGGACGGAGTTAGGACGTTTTGGGCCAGATTGCAATTGATTTTGGTGCAGTTAGATTTAGGTAAATTATGTAAGTAAAATTAGGGTCTGGTTGTTGAAGTGGGAGTTTGGTATTTTTAGGTCTAGAGTTCTGGGACTTTACAGGTTTGGGAATTTAGAATTTTGGGACTTAGCAAGTTTGGTACTTCAGAGGTTTGGGACCTTGCAAGTTTGGTACTTCAGAGGTTTGGGACCTTGCAAGTTTGAAATTTTAGAGTTTTGGGACCTTGCAAGTTTGAAACTTTAGAGTTTTGGGACTTTGCAAGTTTGGTACTTTAGAGTTTTGGGACTTTGCAAGTTTGAAACTTTAGAGTTTTGGGACTTTGCAAGTTTGGTACTTTAGAGTTTTGAGACTTTGCAAGTTTGGAACTTGAGAGTTTTGGGACTTTGCAAGTTTGGAACTTTAGAGTTTTGGGATTTTGCAAGTTTGAAACTTTAGAGTTTTGGGACTTTGCAAGTTTGGAACTTTAGAGTTTTGGGACTTTGCAAGTTTGGAGCTTTGGAATTTTCTAACTTTAGTACTTCTAAATTTTAGAATCTTGGAACACAGAACTTTCCTAACAATTTCAAGACACATTTCAAAATTTGTAACTTTGCTATTTCAGAATTTTGGGCCATAGAAGACCTAGTCCCAAAACATCAAAAAATTAAAACTAGAATTAATATTTAATTAAGAACTACAATTGGGGCTAATAAATGTTGAGACAGCCCTGTAGAGATACCACGATGCATTGGATAAATCTGCAAGAGAAATTTATGAAAAATTCGCGAAATTAACGTTGTCACGCATGGTGGAGCAGAAATTACGGCACGTGGCTAGAAACGGGAAAAGGAAACCGGTCGTGCGAGGGCGATCGGCAACTGTGGTTAGGAATTCGTGAAAAATGTTAGTGGTTCTAGTAGATTGATGTTACTGTATGATACTACACATACTTTGGGGCTTATTCAGCCTCTGCAATTCGGGCAACCCAATTTATGTTCTAGGACAGTCTTTTGACCACATTTATTAAATACTTTAGAATGATCTACATATTAATAATAAATTATTACAATGCAATTTATTTTTATTTTATTTTAGACCAAAGTATAAATGTTTTTAATTTTTTATAAATGTATTCATTTTGTAATATCATGGATGCAAATGGATAAAGGTTTTTGGGCAAACTCAGAGTAAAAAAATCTTGAAACAAAACTGAAAATTGTCATACATATTTTACAGAAAAATGTCATACACAAAAAATGTTTTACATAATATTCTTGTATCATTATATAGTTAGTAACATATATCTGCAAATAGTAGAACTATTTGGAGACATAAAAGGAGTCAATAAAGACTCCTATAAAGCGTCAATCTCGATTGCATAAGCAAAATAGGGATAATTGTCAAAGAATTACCGCCATAAGAGTACATACAGAAAATTACATCGGCAAATATTTCGAATGTCTAAAATTCTAGAGCATGACATCGAATACGGTTCCATGTACGCAGTGTACAAATACCGCGATCAGCGGCTCCGTCGGATTGAAAAATGTCGCCGCAAGTATAAAACTTGCTCCAGATTTCCTTAAGAGCGTGTCTGGCCGACCAGTTACGTGTGCCCTCCACTGATTATATTATCCCAACCGCGTTCCTGTCGTTTGTAGTTGCCCGACAACTATCTCTTTTTTTTCTCCTCCTTATGCAATTGCTTTCTTCAGAGGTACCCTTCGTGAAATCCCTACGTCTCGGCTTACACTGCCGATTTTGTCGTTCTTCGTCGCTAAAATTCCTCGGGTAACCCGACTCCGTGGTTCTTTCCGCAATAGGCTTGTTCTTTCCTTGGATTTACTCTATTTAACCCTTTCGCTTCGTCACGCTTCTGATTAAATGTATTCTCTTTGTGAATGGAACGTTGGTGTTATGTACGCTTGCGTTCATTTTTTAGTTACGTGTCGGGTTCAAATTCTTTTATTTGAGGACGAAGTTTGAGGATTGTGGAATTTTTGAATTTAGGGATTTAGGGATTTAGGGATTTAGGGATTTAGGGATTTAGGGATTTAGGGATTTAGGGATTTAGGGATTTGGGAATTTAGGGATTTGGGAATTTAGGGATTTGGGAATTTAGGGATTTGGGAATTTAGGGATTTGGGAATTTAGGGATTTGGGAATTTAGGGATTTGGGAATTTAGGGATTTGGGAATTTAGGGATTTGGGAATTTAGGGATTTGGGAATTTAGGGATTTGGGAATTTAGGGATTTGGGGATTTGGGAATTTGGGAATTTGAGGAATTGGGAATTTGGGGAATTCGGAATTGGCAATTCGGAATTTGGGGATTTGGGGATTAGGGATTTTGACATCTAGGGATTTAGGGATTTGGGGATTTGGGGATTTAGGGATTTAGGGATTAGGGGTGTTAGAGATTTTGACATCTAGGTATTTAGGGATTTAGAGATCTAGGGATTTTTCGAATTTAGGGGTTTTAGGATCTAGGGGGTTTTGGAATTGGGGATTTGGGACTCTAGCGATTTTTCGAATCTAGGGATTTTTCGAATTTAGGTGTTTTGGGATCTAGGGGGTTTTGGAATTTGAGATTTGGGACTCTAGGGATTTTTGGATCTAAGGAATTTTGGGACTTAGGGATTTTTGGTATCTATGGATTTGGGACTTTTGGAATTTGGAAATATAAGGATTTGGAGATGCAGGTATTTGGGGATCTAGGGATCTGGTGATATAGGAATTTATGGATGTAGAGATTGGAGAATATAGAGATTTGGGAATTTAGAAATTTAGTAATTTAGTAATTCAGTAATTCAGTAATTTAGGTATTTAGAAAAGGAATTTTGGTACTTAGTAACTTGACAACTTAGTAACTTAATATCTTAATAACTTAGGAACTCAGAAACTTGAGAACTTAAGTACTTAAGAAGTTAACAACTTATGAATTTAGAAAATTAATAAATTTCTTTGATTCCCAAAATAATACCACCCTCTATAATCTATCATCCTCTATCAACCCCTTGCACTCCTACGTGTGACTAAACATTTCTCTTGTCTCTCATAAATAATTCAGATAAATACATCTGTATACATATTTTCATTAATTTACTACTAATAATAAATGAAATTTTGTCACATCGCACTGCTGCAGCACATTAGTTCAAGAACCCCTTTCTTCATCTATTTTATAAGTCCCAAATCGATAGGTAAAATAAATTAAGTCTTCCCATAAATATCTATCAAATTTCATAACAATCTTCTGTTATAAAGAAGCATAAATCATGCGTCCATTCACCGTACCCTGCAAGTTTCTCCTTGTCCAGAATCTAAAAAAATAATCCGGTGAAAAATGATGGAAGAAACCGCGTGCAATTACTAAAGATCATCGAGGTGGCACGTGCGATCTCGATCGCAGAGAAAGTTTCCAAGATTTTTCTCGTCGTCCGATATCGGTGAAACTGAAACAGAAACGTTAGCTGGGGAAAAAAGAAAAGTTGCCTCGACCAGGCGATCGAATTCTTCACGGTTCTTCGATGCTAAAACCTCCTCAAGGAGGTGTCCTTTCTAGGCGCGAACCTTGGACGATATTGTTTCTCGATCTGCATGCTCTTACACCATAACTTAATTCGCAACACCCGAGACAGATACGTTCCGATTTTTCTCGGCTAGCCAGCATTTTTTGCACGCAGGCCCTCTCACTTTCACTCGGGGCTACTGCGACCGCTTTTAACGATCTAACCGGCCGTGCCTAAGTAAAGACAGGATTCTCATTAAGAGCGACAAGCGACTTTTTTACTCCCGGTGCCAATTATTGGCCACTTTGTTCTTTAAATGGACCGGTTAAGCCTGCTGGAATTACGAGATGACCCGGTCCGGTTGCGTAAACCCGAGGAAAAAGCAGGTTTCGTTCGACCTTTATGTCCAGGAAATACTCTTTTCCCAATAAGAAAACTACCTTATGCATAATTTGTTCATGGTGTTTGGTCCGTTGAAATGCAGACAAGAATTCTGGCAAACACGGTGAAAGCTACGCGTGTTTCAGTTCATTGATGCTTATAGTTTCTTCGGGGTGCCTATTCGACACGGTTTCTCGAAATGAGAAACCTTTCGAATTTATCGAAAGCAGAGATGCATCCTCTTCAACGGATCGTGAAACCACTATCCATGTTTTACTCCTAGAAAGTCCGAGGCTTTCCACTAAACTGCGTCCTTCGCCGTGTCAAAACATCGAATTCGATGTTGCAAACAGTGCATGATGCTACATTTCTCTAGCCCTCTTTCACGAGCTTCTAGGTCACTTTCAGTTCGTGGAAAATCATTAAATATCACTTTCCTGGAAGATGACTCAAGAACCTGTTCTTGATGAGCCATAACTTGCAGATGTGCATCTTATGACGATAATTACTGCCTCGTATTTTTATTAATATCGGTATTTATGTATCATAATTAATAAGTAATATTAATAATAAGTAATTTGATATTCCAGAATAATCTTCAATTTCCTCGTCGTTAATCTCAAGCTCAAAAAGTTATGAATCCCCGAGGAGAGCTAATAAATCTCAACCGAGATCTCAAGCAAATTAATTCGATGAAATATTTCTTCCAAGTGTGGAGGATCGAAGGTCACTTTCCCTCACACGCTCCGAATCGATTATTCCTCTTTATTAATACCATAAAATATGCGTCATGTCATTACAATTAATTATTCAACACTATAAATTAATTATTCAATTACTCATTTAATTTATTCTTTACAGAATGCATTGGTTGTGTCTGGCAGCGTTAGCTGCAACCGTGGCAGCTCAAGGGTCCTACGATCTGGACCCAAGAGTGTCATTCACCGGAAAATCATCGAGCTTGGGACCACTGTACTCGTCGGGCCTGGGTGGTCAAGGTTTCCGCGACAACAGCTATGAAGATAACATCGTAACACCTACACCGTCTCCGTCGCCTTACAGGACTCCCAACAGTCAAGCACCGGTATTTCGATCTTACTCCTCGTAGAATGCTCGAATTATTAATTGCAGTGAAGGCAGTTGCATCATGTTACATTGCGTATACCAGTTACGTCTTATGCAACAACTTACGTAAAAATCTGTTACCTTAATGTACCGGTTATGTATGGCTATCTTTGTACCTATATGTGGTACATTTTTGTGAATGATAGGATTGATGTTTTATTCTTTTTGGTGATTGTTGTCTTTTTGCAGTTGTACCGGAAACCATCTGGGGCGATTGATCAGACGGCGATTAGGGTGAATGGACCACCACGGGGAGGCATTGTTCGAGCGGGACAGAATCCTCGGGTAGGAAGATAGTAGAATGTTAGGGAGTTGTGGAGATGCTGAGTACTGTGGTTCTTAAGTACTGGTGCAATATTTTGGTATTCCTCATTTTTATTTCCAAGCTTCCTAGTTCCAAAGTTTTCCAATTTCTTAATTTTCAAATTCCTACATTTCCCAATTCCCACTTTTCCTAATTCTCACATTTCCCAATTCCCACTTTTCCTAATTCCCACATTTTCCAATTCTCACATTTCCCAATTCCCACATTTCCCAATTCCCACATTTCCCAATTCCCCCATTTCCAAATTTCCACATTTCCCAATTCCCAAATCCTCCAATTCCCAAATCCCCCAATTCCCAAATCCCCCAATTCCCAAATCCCCCAATTCCCAAATCCCCCAATTCCCAAATCCCCCAATTCCCAAATCCCCCAATTCCCAAATCCCCCAATTCCCAAATCCCCCAATTCCCAAATCCCCCAATTCCCAAATCCCCCAATTCCCAAATCCCCCAATTCCCAAATCCCCCAATTCCCAAATCCCCCAATTCCCAAATCCCCCAATTCCCAAATCCCCCAATTCCCAAATCCCCCAATTCCCAAATCCCCCAAATTCCAAAACCCCTAATTTCCACATCCCCCAATTCCCAAATCCCCCAATTCTCAAATCCCCCAATTCCCAAATCCCCCAATTCCAAATCCCCCAATTTCCAAAACCCCCAACTTCCAAATTCCCCAAAGTCCTAACATACCAAATTACCTCACATCACACCATCAGTCTCAGCACCCAGTGATAAATATCAGATCAAGACAATCTCAGAAGACCCATTAACAGACAATCCTAGCGCTAGACAATCCTATTTGAAATTGTACAAGTCATGATGGATGCAGGTGAAATTGTCATTCCGTATGTCTCACAATAAGTGAAAGCAATGTAAGAAATCCCTGCATCCATTGTTCGCAGTTCCATACAATAAGATTGTTACGCAATAGCACTCGTTACGATGAGAAGAAAGAAATGTTTCTTTGTAAAGAAGTAAATCGGCTCACCTTTTTTCTATACTTCTTATCGCAAGATTTCTAATAATTGTGCGGTCCGTCGCCATCCCTGAACGGTACGTCGACATTAAGCAACCGCCTGTGGTAAACCATGTTGATCTTGTTGCATTGTTTCTTTTTTCTTATCTCGTGAAGAATGCAATTGAGAAAGGGAACATCTTATATAAACGATGCATTTTGTACGGGGTACTTTCCTTTAACGTTGTTAACCGTGTTACGTGGTTGAAGGCCGAGGTTGAGGAACTGGAGGAAAAGGAGGAGCCCGATCGTTTGACCCTTCTTCTGCCGCAAAGCAAATTCGATTGCGTGAACAAGCAGACCGGATATTACGCCGACGAGGATCTCAACTGTGAAGTCTTCCATTACTGTCAGGATAACGCGAAACATTCATGGATCTGCCCTGAAGGGTTCACCTTCCATCAGGTAGCTTAATTTTCCTCTTTTAGAAATGTCGGTGAAAGCATTAGTTCCCATAAAATGTAACCGACGATCGTGCAGTTAATTGATCGTAATGCTATCGATAAGTAAATTTCACCTCGCCCATACATGTTTTCGCCTTGTTGTTTCCGCTGTTATATATACAGCGAAACAGGTAAGTAAGGCCAATCATAAATCGTGCGATCGGTTTCCCGATAACGGCCGTTTCCGGGGTGATCAACCTGCGATCAACCTCGCCAAAGATGCAAATAAACCTAACGCACGGTATCTGTCTATTCCGCGAAACACCTTTCTCTTCAACAACTTCGAGGCCATTCCACTCATTGCGCGTTTGCGTTACAGGTTCACTTAATCTGCATGCCTCCCAGCGGCGACATCAACTGCAAGAAGAGTTCGCAGTATCACTTCGTCAACGAGTACCTCTACAAACCATTGAACTTGGCTGAAGCTGAGAATAAGCCTAATGTGACCTTGAGATACAGCGAACGATACTTCCCTGCAGATATTCATCCCGACGAACGCGATTCTGATGAATACGCTTCTGCGCCAGTTCGTCGTCCTGCGCCAGTAGTAAGAACTTCTCAAATTTAGGCCTCTTAGAACACAGTGGGACAACCATAGAACCTACAACAGAAATATATTGTACACATATAAGCTCTAATATTATAAATTCTAATAGAAGTTCTGTATAGGCAACTGAGGTTGCAAGGAAAAGGATACTTTTATAGGTTATTACTTATAGACACTAGTTACTAGTTATAGACACTATGTTCATCCAGTTATCAGTAGTAGATGTCCCTAAGCTTAGATTAGTTCTCTTAAGACTTTGAGTTTCTTCTGAAGTATCCTACACAAGCCCCAAGTCTAAATTTTCAAGTTTCATAATCTGCCCATCACTATATAATTGGATATAAAAAAGAAATAATTTATCTACAGGTGTACTCTAGTCCTCAGCCAGCACTGAACAGCATTCCTCCTTCAGCTCGTCCACAACCAACGGGTCTTCCGCAATTCCGTTTACCGATCAATCAAGTTTTCCGTAGCCCTGAAGAAGTGAACATACCTCTTCAACACAGACGCCCGCAACCTCAACAGCATCAGGCTGTGAGAAGATTCCCTCAAGTACGACCTGATGATGAGGAATACGAGTGAATTTGATGCATCGTTCAACAATTATTATTATCATTCATCGTCACCGTCATCGTCGCGCTTCAATCGTTAATTATGTCATCGTATACATTCCGTGTTGAAATTGCAAATAAACGATAAACATAATAGCTATGTTTATTGGAACGAATTATAATTATATAATTCTGTAGATTAATTATATTATGTAAATTATTATTCTCGTTCTCATTTCTCATTTTGAAATTCTTAATTACATATTGTATAATTTAGCAACACGAGTATTTTTCTTAAAAAATAATAATATTGAATAATGTAACGCGTATATGAGCATTATAAAAATGCGAATATTGTAGCATGTAATCGGTAGTAGATTCACAGTGATGACCAATAAATTATTATCGTGTTACCTTTATTAGTCTTCATTATTACTAAGATAATGTTATAAAATGTTTTCTTGAAACCTGTGCTTTATTCATACAAATGTAATAATCGTAGGGATATGTATGCTATATATAAAATATATATGTAATGAAACTAAAGGAACACAATTTTTGTATTCTGCAAAATATACCTGTAGTACTATCTAGCGGAGGAGACTAGAAGGTACTCCTGGTATCAGTCGGTAATTTGACTATGTTTCTTACGATTTTTCTACTGTTGAATAGTTATAGTGTTTTGTGCTCCATTACATATAATTTAAAAAAAATTCTAAAATTATTTCGTACAATAGTTTATTAAAGTGAACAAATGCAAATATATACTGCGTTCAATGAAAGATCGTAGTCATTGTTTGACAATTTTTGAATTACTCTGCGCATAACCACCGAGTAGTGCGCATGTGTTCTAAGATCAAAAGCGTAAGTACCCAGTGATATAATTTGCTAAATTTCTTATCGCCTATTCCCAACTTCTCAAAGTTCCAAAGCTTCAAATTCCAAAACTTCCAAATCTTTAAATTTAAAAATTTATAAATTTTTAAAGTTCTAAGCTTCCACATTCCTAAATTCTCAAATTCTATCATATTTTGTCCATGCTCTTTTCTACATTCTGTAAATTTTGTCCACCATATATAATGGACAATAGTGAAATATAAAGTGGTAGGCATTTCCTGAAGTTAGTCACTTTGCGCCAACTAAGTATGTTCTCTTGTTGAACGCAGTATAGATTTTCTCTTGTTCAATCGTACGCTTTGTGATGCAACGTATCGCCATATTGTTTGCTACACTACCGCCTTCTGAAGTAAAAAACTTCAGGGTTATAACCAAGTATCGTCTCTCCGTTTTCTTGTTAATGTCCATGTGAATTCGTCTTTTTCTCGGGTTACATTTGCGTCGTAGTGTTGTCCATTGTACTTTTTATTTAAATCACGAACAAATTTAGCTTCCGTAGTGTTCATACAAAAGTCGTTGATGCGCTTTCGTGTGTCTTCAATAAACGACGTTCAATCAAGAATTTCGGAATATGGCTGCTGCTGCTGCTGCTGCTCTTCTCGATGAGCTTATGGGAAGGAACAGAAACGTTCTTCCCAACGAAAAACCCAAAGAACTTAATTGGGAGGATCCTGAGGTAATATTTTGATTACAAATTCGATTTTTTATCAACACGAATTTTGTCATCGTTTATATTATATTTGTATTTTTATGTTTCAGTTTTGCAAATTGTATTTAGTCAAATTTTGCCCTCATGACTTATTCGTTAATACGAGAGCCGATTTGGGCGCGTGTTCTCGGGTACACGATGATGAGGCCAGAGAGCTGTTCGAAAAAGCGCCATATTCGTATCGTAAACAACAGTATGAAGATGAATTTATTAGGTTTTGTCAAAGTATGTTGAACGAAGTCGAAAGAAAAATAATCAAGGGAAAACAGCGGTTAGCTCTTATTGGAAGAACAGAAGCGGTAAGGGTATTGAATGTTTTGACTTTTATACGATTATTATTGAGACAGGTTATATAATGTTTAATATTATTTATTTAGCCTACCTTAACACCAGCACAAACTCAGAGGAATGAAGAACAAATTGCACTTTTAACCGAGAAAATTAACAAGTTAGTAGAAGAAGCAGAACAAAGTGGTATACAAGGCAACGTAGAACAGGCTCAAGGTTTAATGAGATTGTGTGATCAGTTGAAAGAAGAAAGAGAAACATTACGAAAATCTAATGATAATAGTCACTATAATCAGGTATGTATAAGCATATATATTATGTAACCTATTGTTTATAAAATCTATACAAATAACTAGAATATTTGTATTTAGACTGCTGAATTGGCTGCTGCACAAGAAAAACAAATGGAAGTGTGTGATGTATGTGGGGCATTTCTCATTGTTGGTGATGCTCAACAACGAATTGATGATCATCTAATGGGGAAGCAACATGTTGGATATGCCAGATTAAAGAGTGCTCTTCAGGAAATCATGGTAATTTATATCCTTCGTGTATCAAATGTTTATATAATTTTAGATCATAACATGAAAATATTATTACAGAGTAAACGTGAAAAAGCTAGAGATGAAAAGGAACAAAGGAGAGAAGAAGATAGAAAGCAAAGAGCACGTGCTAACGAAGATATCGATAGGCGAAGAAGAGACGATAGAGACAGAGATCGGGATCGAGAAAGGGATAAACGTCGTAGACGCGATGACGATAAAGGTAGACACGATTCAAGCAGCCATAGGTAATTACTTAAACATTTCTGATAAGTCAACTAATTTAATACGATGATTTTATAGTATTTATTATGTGTAGAAATTCTGGACATAGAAGCAGAAGCAGGTCAAGAGATAAGCACGACAGGCATCGAGATGATGATCATCGACGTCATGCTCGCGATAAAGGTAGATACATTTATATTTCCATTAAGTTTCCATTTGATAACGATCATTGTACATTTTAGGAAGTCGTGATCATCGAAGCTCGAGTCACCACAATCGTCGCCGCCATCGATCCAGAAGTCGAAGTCACAAGTAACTACTCTTGATTGGTTAGTGAGTGAGAACTAAGCCAGGTATGCACTAAACAATATACCATATCCGTCTCAATTACTATACAGGTTCTTTACCAGGTGAGTTTCATTAGATGCACATAATGTATACATGATAATTATCTGTAATTTTGAAGAATGGCATAGTCACAGCGAGCCAGTCTCTGGTCCTGCCTATTAATCGGAGAAACACTCTTACTAAATTTCATACGGACCTGATTGTACAGCGTTTAATTTTCAAAGTGACGAGCTTGCTCTATGTAACATATTACCGAAAAAAAGGTGCATCGAGGTAATGTCGAGCAAGGATTAGTAAAATTGTTCCCATACGAAAGGTATTTTTATCATGTAGTATTATAGATATTGTCTACAGAGCAAGATAGGAGAAGGTATACCTATGCTTGCTTTGATCGGTATAATGTCTTCATAGGGTAAATCAATTACATATATGATTTCAACGACTGCATAGCTTTTTTTTGTCGAAAAGAAATTAGTGGTTTAGTGGAGGAAACAGTGCCTACTTCCGTAGACCTGCTACAACAGTGCCCTGTGTGACTGTGACTATACAATCCTAGCTTCTACTACGCATTTCTGAGGTATTTATATCGGAATGATAATACCAAACATGTCCTTTTATTAGGAAAAGTTAGACATTTTCAATACGGTGATCTTTATTTTGGAGCGATATTCAAGTGCTTTAAAGTTACGATAACAAACTCCCGCTCTTACTTTCCTTATTCCTTGATTGTAATTTATTGGAACGTGTTCAGTTTAAAAGTTGAGTAATGGTTTTTACCAGTTAGTCAGGGAAGATTTCTACCATAGGACCAAAGGAATAATCTTAATAGTTTAATTTGTGATAATGCATTCATGTGGGTGACCCAGAAATGTAAAATATTTTTATTTAACAGCCATCTGGCTATAATTTACAAACCATGTGTAAACTGCTCGGAATTATGTACAGATATACGGTCGTGTCATTATAATTATCTTTAGAACTTTATTCACAAAAGTTCAAAAAAAAGAACATACAATGCTGCATATTCTTCTTCCCTTTGCATGCATTTTTTCTCCGTTATTTTTAGTTCTGAAAGACAGGACTTGGCGAAGCTCAATCGTGTTTTCTTATCGAAAAGTCGTATTATCAATCATTATACGTATCATGATAAATCATTTGAAGGTTGCCGACAGGTCACGTGGACTGTGTATTATGGTGATCCCAGGATATTCCCTTTAATCATATCTTATTCTTTTTGTCACGTCCTTCATTTCGGCTTGATAGAAGACTCATACTTTATGCGCGTACTACATTTGTGTGACTCATGTTTGTCGCGAAACACCTTGAGTAATATGCTTTTGAAACCAAATAGATTTCAAAAAAATGGTACAAAAATGATAGCATTAATTAAAAAGTATCGTCTTGAATTGTTACATTGGGATAAAAGAAATGTTATCCTTTAAAGGTTTGTAAATGTACTTACCTTTAACACATTTCATTTAACATTCTCATATTGTATTTAATTATAAGTTAAATTGCTCATAAATGTATGTTAAAAAGAAGTTCTATTGTATTATTGTATAACAATACAGATATAGAATGAAATATATTTTATTATGCTAATTAATTTTATTTTTACTTAAAATTTACAAATTAATTCTTTTTATTTCCAATGTTACAAACAAAGATGATCAATTCTAATGATATAATCTGCTTTTTCACACATGTAGCCGACAGAAGTATGATATATTTTTTTTTAATATTACATATATACATATATATTAGGTCAAGTTAACAAATAATGTATAAATATGTTATCCTGCTGTTTGATAATGACAGAAATTAATATGAGCAAAATTGTACTGAAATCGTAATTTCTGAAAGTTACATTGTCTATTTTCAGACAGAAGATATGCCATGGGGATGTAACCGCTACACGGACTCACTTGCACACTGCTTAATATAATATTAAGGTAAAGATTTTGCATAATCTAAAAAGTCCAACAAATCATGAATTTTATTCACTTGCGTTTGAATTCATTTTTACTGCCTTGCGCCATCTTGAATTTATTTACAAAGAAGAAATCTTTAAAATTTAATATAAATTATTGTTATCAATGTTATGTCACAAAATCATAAAACAATTCAAACAGTTTATTAGCAATTCATTCGTATTTGATGCAAATGTTACTTTGGATTTTTTACATATAAAAAAAGGACAAGGTAAATTATCTACAATTTGCATTGTAATACTCATAAGATTGTTAATTGAAATTAATAAAACAGTACTGCAATGAAGGTATCAGGTTATTTAAAAAAAAACACAAACATTTCTAAAATAGTCAGGATTATAAACAAATTAACAAGACCATCAAACACTGTACAATCTTTAACAGATTATAAAATTTATTAAATAAGTATACATGTGTATATATATGTATATGTATTAATAATACATTATTGAGCGATAGGATATTCTATCTGGATACTGTACATAGTAGTAATATTTGCTATAATACAATTATCTGCTAATAATCAAATTATCTTTGTACAAACTAAAATACTGTACATCAAGTGTAAATATTTGTATTGGTTGAATGATTTTGATTCTATCGTGCGTATTTAATTCCCTTACGTCATGTCGACAGACGCGAAAAAGTTGAAACAATTAAATAGCAACAATTTTATTTAAGTCCAATAGTTTTTGTAACCTAAAAATAATATATTATTTAATCAATTAGTGTGATTTATTTTAAAATTGTCTAAATAATAAAAAATTAAAAGGTTTGAAATATTTGCTACCTCTTCGTATACAGTCCAAGCCATTGCAGTCACTAATGTCCTTCTCAACATTCTTGGAACAATGCCTTTAAAGTACCCTAATACACCATATTTCTCATATATCCTAAATACTGAATAGAAAACACCTTTAAATTCGCTCGGGTACAGTTGCATTTTCGTTTTAATCACATCTGCAGGTTGTGTTACGATAGAAGCAAATATTCCTGCTAGTATTCCACAACTAAAATGAGTTACCGCTAAGGATTTATTGCAAGAAGAATCTGAAAGTATTATTGTACATTAAAAATACTGAATGTCAGACAAAAGATTTTAACATCTGTTTTATCAAAATTACCTGTTTCTATGACTAAACTTTTTAATTCAGTGTAAAACATAAGATAAAGACCGCTAAAAGGAGCGTCTCTTAATAATGTTGGTACCAATCCACGCGAAAGACCTCTTACTCCTTCCTGCTTATAAATTAATTTCAGTGCTTCCCCTATACTGTTATATTTATAAACTTCACTCTGTAAAATGAAAATTAAACTGAATCATGTATTCTCATAGAATTTATATTAAGTAGAATATCCTAGATTTATCAATACCAATATTTTTACATCTTATTTCGTTTGCTGTGCATCTTCTTTTTTATATTATAACATTTCACGCGATAAAAAAGATGTAAACATATTTACAATTATTATACATACTTCGAAGCGCGTTTTCACTACTGTTATTGGAATTAACAGAGCTCCAGACATAGATCTTGCCGTAATGCCTAGTAACATAGCTTCTGTAGGTGTGAGTGGATCTTCTAGATGCAATGTGTGTTTTAACCAATGTAACGATGAAAAATATAATCCAACACTAGGAACAACCCTAGTGATAGACTGGAAAAAAAGAACTTTCAATCTATATTCCTTCTTAATTTATTTCAATTTGGTAATCATCATAATCTTACCGGTGTCATACCCCTCCAGAGTCCAAACACATTTTCTTTTTGAACTATATGAATTATTGTTCCCAAAGTACCACTTTTTGAAGCACTAATTTTGAAAAATAGGTAATAAAAATATTAATGGAAACATAATTTTATTTAAAATAATTAAAACAAAATGTTATTCTCAACTTACTCCAGGTGAAGATTTACTCTACTTTGAAGTCTTGTTTTTATAAGGTCCAATGGTTGAAATAAAATAGTTGAAAAAGTGCCAGACAGTGATCCCGCGAGAAACGACTTCAAAATAGGATACTAAAAACAAAATGTTTTAATTTTCAAAATGCATTTGAATATAAATAAACCATCTACATTTATTAAATATTTGAAACATTATATGAATGTATCCTCATTCATTTAATTGAGTGATAAAATATATGGAAGTTATCATTAAATGAAACATACAGATAGCAATATATCATTAATTGCTGTTGCAATATATAGATATATATGTCATTGCATATTATCATGCACGAGTTTAGTCACGTGAGTTATAACTCTTTCTTAAGAAGTCAATATCATTGTTATCTGCATAATGTAATTTTATTAGTTACCATTCGTTTCAAAAGTGTTGTTACCTTTATTTTCTTCTTCTACAAAATATGTACATAGCAGCTTATGATTATATTTTGTAAACTAAATTCATTGAGTGTCAAACTAAAAGTATATTTTGAATGTAACATCAAAATATAAAACTTTAATTCTGAAGTACATGGTATTAAAATTGTATGACACTTTACTTCTGATCACCTTAAATTTTATTTGGAATTATGAAGATATTTAATTTTATAATAGTCCAATTATTGTAATAGTCGTAGAATAGATAATTTTTTATTTTCTTTTTCAGCTAATACTTGTAAATTTGGGACATCAAACTCGCAAACTCATAATGCAAATGAACACATGAGATACTAAATGGTGGATACTGCTCCACATAAATCATCCAGTACACCTCTTTTATATTTAGAGGTATTTTTTATTCAAATATATTAATATTATGTTTGTTTTATTTGATAAGATTTATCAAGTTTTATGTATTTACATTTAAAATATCAATTAATCGTTTCAGCATATAATCATAAAAACATGTTATAACTAATTTTATTCAACAGTTTTATTGAAATAATGGTATAAATGAATATATTAAATAAAATTTGTTGAGTACAGCAACAGTTCAAAATATGGACATATCTACCCTTCATTAATTTTTAAGTATATGTTTCAAAATAAGAAAATTGGGATACTTACAGTTCCCAAGGCTTCCATGATAACATAAAATCTATTGGAAGTTTAGAAAATAAATTTACTTCAAGTTGTAAAAAACTTTTTATTCAAAACACAAGAAAAACTTTAATTAATGCTTACTTGGGTATTACCGAGGTACTGAGAACATTTAAATCATGACAGTTACTTACATCTTCTTTTATCTTCGTGTTACCACTTTCGGGGTCAATTGAATAACCCTGCATATCAAAACATACTACAGCAAAAAGACCATAAATATCAAACTGAAACGTGATTTAAACGTGACTTAAAGTAAAACGTGACTTACACGATTATGTGTTTAATCTCAGAACATAAAAAATACAAACAATGCTATTGTTGCATACAATACTTTTATTGTAATATAAGTTCTACTAAAACTATTAACAATACTCTATAAAATAGAATGTATTACAAAATTTACATGCTCATTAAAATATTATTTATTTCATAAAATGTATTGTTACATTAAAACCTTTTCTCTCATAAAAATTGCAAAAACTTTTCCATAAATTCACTTACATGTATTGTATTTATATGTTTTATAAATAGAAAAGTGTTTGTAGCTAACAAAAAGTTAGAGTATTTTTATGTTATTACATATGTATATGTATACATATGATACAAATTTAATAACTTTAAGTTTTGAAGTTTGAAGTCATCTATTAGGTTAGAATTAAAAAATTAGAAACAAAAAATTGATACTGTATCATATCATACTTTTATTTTTTTTAACTATATACTTATTTATAATTGCTTATTAATATAAGTATAGTTCTGTCGTAAACTAAATTATACACATAATTATTGCACGTTAAAAACACATTCAGTTTATCGAACATAAGGAATAATATCAAAATCTAGAAAATGTCACGGGACCGAAACAATTTGACTTATCTCACTAGATAAGAAATTGTGTTTTCTGAATCCATTGTTCGAAACCAATGTGTCTTCAATGTTGCATCGATAATGATTAAATGTGTAATCGCATGCAGTCAGTGACGTAAGTATTGTTCTGTTTGCTCCAAATCAATCGCGGCATTTCATAACAAAAAAATGAAGGCGGATTAACGACAAATAAGTTGTGACATTTATTTACGATATTTGCAAAATACATTTTTATATATAATCTTTATCACAAAATAATAACGAGATATTGCGTGATGAGATTTTTTGCGACTTATTAAGAATTTTGAAATTTTAGAACTTTGAATCTTGTGGACATTGGGTTTTTGGAATATTGGGACTTGCATATTTTAAAATTTCGAAACTTTAGACAAAACTTTAGTCAGAAAATACCGCTTTTAAAAGTAGGTTTTAGTTTGGAGAAATCTGAAGTATAGAATTCCATATTTCCTGTTCAAAAAATGCGCTAATTTCATTGAATGCCGGATTTCCGGTTGTGGCGCTGTATTCGCCGCCTACATGTAACGTTCGTGAAGCGAACTCGGCCATTTCTTTATTGTATTTCGGCGTGGTCGGTACCTCTGAGTAGTAGGTAAGCTTTACTTATTCCAAAATTATTTAATATTTAATTTATTGTTTCTCTAACATCGTACAATATTAAAACAGTTATCGTTATTTTAATTGGAGTAATATTTTTATTCGAATTTCTTGTAATTATTAACATTTTTTTAAACGTGTGGTTCACTCACCACGTGTTCGTAATTATACGTGGAATCATAATTGTTGTAATTATTCTTGTTACGAGAGGTTGTTGACCATGAGAATAATAAATTATAAGGATTAATTTAAATAGTGCTATCCTTAGATACTGAGAAATTTAAAAAAGTAATTTTTTTAAAATTAGGTAACGACCGTGCAAAATGGTGAACGGAAGGATACCCTCAGTTTTCTCGAAAACTTACGTTACTCCTAGGCGACCTTATGAAAAGGCTCGTTTAGATCAAGAGTTACGAATTATCGGTGAATATGGTCTTCGTAACAAGCGTGAAGTATGGAGAGTAAAATACACATTGGCAAATATCCGAAAAGCCGCTCGTGAACTTCTTACTTTGGAAGAGAAAGATCCTAAACGTCTGTTTGAAGGTAAAGTTAAAGTTCTTATTACTAAATTTACTTTCGCCTATTATAAAATGATGTCGTACTGTATTCTGACACTTCTTGTCTGATCATTTTGAGGATACCTTTATTAATTCTGATAAAGCCTAAATTAAATTTCTGCCCGCATGTTTTAGTCCCATGTTTTAATTTAAAAAATCCATTTTGCAGGAAATGCACTTTTACGTCGTTTGGTAAGAATCGGCGTATTAGACGAGAGCCGCATGAAACTCGATTATGTCCTTGGTTTGAAAATTGAAGATTTCTTGGAAAGACGACTTCAGACTCAAGTATTCAAATTGGGACTTGCCAAATCTATTCATCATGCTCGAGTACTCATTCGTCAACGGCATATACGGTACATATTAATTGGATATGATATTCCATATGCCTTAAAAACTGGGCAAGAAATGTCTGATCATTTACAGATAGTTTCCAATCTTTAAGGCTAGATTAAAGTCCTGGTTAATCACCAAATAAGGAATTATACTTACTTGGTTTCAAAACAGGAAACAAATTTATACATTTAATGCTATAAATGTATTAACAGAGTTTAGTTACTGAAGGTATCCAACCAATTTTTCAGATTATCTACTCAAAATGAAAAAAGCAATGTGACTTAAAATATTGGATGGAGAGCTATGGTGCTTAAGAATCTACAGTAATGTAGAACTTAATTTGAACCTGTTTTATTTCAGGCAGGCCACTTAGGTGTCATAATAATGGCACTTAACGTCTGTCCTAACGTTAGCAGATAGGGGATACTGAATGTATAAGAACCAATTGGTACTTGTCTTGCGTATTAATTAGCTTCATACTTTAATGCACTATAGTGCAGACTGAGTATTATTTATAAATGTAAGCATAAAACATGAAAAGTATAATACTGTTTCAGAGTTCGCAAGCAAGTTGTGAACATTCCATCTTTCATCGTGCGATTGGACTCGCAGAAGCACATTGACTTCTCACTGAAGTCGCCATTCGGCGGTGGCAGACCTGGTCGTGTAAAGAGGAAGAACTTGCGCAAGGGAAGTGGTGGAGCTGCGCCAGAGGAAGAAGAAGATTAGACAGTTTTTTGTATATTATACTTTAATAAAAGTATGCATTGACTGTTCGAAAACAGTATTGTAATATTACTTAGCGACTGTCACTATCCAATATATTCCTTTTTGAACTTCACCCTGCATATTTAAGTTCTCAAATTTATGATAGTCGAATCTGTACGATATTTTTGTAATAGAAGTAGGTGAAAGGAACAACTGATGAATAGTAAGAAAAGAATGCGTTTATTCGATAATAAGATTGTAAATACGTACACATTTAGTAGCAATATTGTATCCAAAGTATAAATTACATAGACTATACTTATTTACAGTTCCTGCCCTCTTCACCTATTTCTAAATATTTGTTTTAATTTTTCTTTTTATAATATTTGTAATAAAATAAATACTACTACTAATATATTATACATATTAGTTTTCTCCAATTAAAAATGTTAGGTTAGAACGCAGGAAATGTCACATGTTCTCCTGGTATATCAGGCGCTACTGTTATCAAGAGCGCAGAATAGTAGAAGAACGTAATCATTGACATGTGGAGGGGATAGGATAGAGATAGTAAGCCGCCATGAATTGGTCCCAAACCAGCTCCTGGTAGCAGGATCACAGAAAGTAGCAGGAGGTATCCGGTAGAAACAAAATTGGCGGGAAATGAGGAGCTCTAGATACGCCCATACCAAAATGGCGACTGCATGAAGTGAACTCATTAGGTACAGACACGCCTACTCCAAGATGGCGGCAACCACAACATGAGATCCATAAATATTTAATTTATATGCAATTATTATAAACCAATTTCAACTCTATAGTAGTGCAATGTGGAAAGCAATTATTTATTCATTTTTACCGTTGATATTTGTGAATACTTTGTAAACGAATTCGAAACAGTTCGTTCATTATACTTGACGGTCATATAGGAAATGACATTCGAATGGTAACTATTGTTTCCTTTAGTCAAAAACTGTTTTCAAAGAGTTCCCTTTAGAAAAAGGAGCTTATTTGTATAATTTTATATAATAAAGAACAGCCAATTTTAGTAATTAAAATTATTAATTGTATATTCCAAAGTGCAGGTTGTGGTTTGGACAATTGCCGCTAAATGGCGCCACGATTTACTTTGGCAGCTGACGAATACAAATCGCTAGATTTGGAGTAGAGGTATCAGGAGTGTAGAATAAGCGAGGAGGTATACCGGTAGAAAGTTATTTAGCGGGGAAATTTGAATTTTGCTATTGCTTTTCTACTACCTTATAATTTGATATTTTATTGTTTGCAAATATTTTATAAATTTTCTACACAGAATTCCAAGAAGTTCCTACACAGATTGTACACATATTTTATTTTTTGATTATAACGAAATATTAAAGTACTTGATGAAAGGAAGGAAGCAATACATAATTTTACGTGCAGATTAATGAATAATTTATTTCTAAATGGCATTATATGATACAATTAAAGAACAAGTATAATGACTTTTTCATATCAATTTATTTTAATTTGTACAGGAGTATACGCATAGCAGGAGGGGCACCTTACATGTACGTTTGAACTTATACCGAAGAGATCTTAATTGTGATTCGTTTCCAAAGCTTAATGAACACTTTCGAAAGTATTGGACTTTTCTATGTTTTAACATATAATTGTGAATGAAGATAACATTTTTGTCGTTATAATACATATTTGATTATTCATCACCAAGCACCACGCGGTCAGTATGGCATATTGGACATTTTATAATTAAAGTGAATACAAATTTTTATACGTATTTTTAAGAAAAAGTGGTTATATAAATTTTTAATTGGTATATAATACAATGGATTATTTTTACATATTATAAAAAGTGCATGTATTTATATAAATTTTATCACTTCCGTCTTTTAAAGATTGCATCAAATGCAGAAAGGCAACTCTCAGCCATTTTCATTCCATACCTCGTGCATTTAGAGGTTTCCAAGATGGCGAAGAAAACGTTAGCGGATAAAACCCCTCAAAACGACGATAATGTTAAAAATAACGACGATGTACTAACCGACGATGAAGAACCGAATTTTAGTGATCCCGAGGGATTTGTGGATGATATCACCGATGAAGGTAAACTCGATTTTTCGTAAATGACAACTCGACAGAAGCCGAGGAATGGTGATTGAAAGCATGGCTGGGCATAGTCGCAAATGTGGCATGCGAACTTAACCTTAAAATACTTTTTCGTACTGAAATACGTTAGTGATAATTGCAACATTGTTACTTGTAGAACTCCTTGGTGACATCCTCAAACAAAAACCATCAGAAACAGATGGTGTAGAATCGGTAATTGTTATCGATGGAGTGCCCCAGGTTGAGCCTGAGAGATTAGAGAAACTTCAATCCGTGATTAGCAAAGTTTTAGGAAAATTTGGCACAATTGTAAACCAATATTATCCTAAAAATGAAAATGGATATACCAAAGGGTATGTATAATTTTATTTTATACTCTACTAAAACTACATCCAATTTATTTTCTTCTAGGTATATATTTTTAGAATACAATAACCCAGTTAACGCTTTAGCAGCCGCTCAGTCTGTAAATAATTACAAAATTGACAAACAACACACATTTAAAGTAAATTTGTTTACCGATTTTAAAAAGTTTGAAGAAATCCCAGATGAATGGGAGCCTCCAAAACCACAAGAATTTAAAGCTGCTGCAGATTTACACTATTATCTTTTAGAACCAGATGCTTATGATCAATATTGTGTACTTTGTGGTAATGGTCCTTCTGTTACTGTACAAGTATGGCAAAATTCTGCCCCTGAACCATCATTGCTCGAAGAACGTGCTGTAAGTTATTAGGTCCAGATGTTTGATATTATAATGTTCATTTGTAACTAATAATATTTACCTACCTTTTTTCAGCGCTGGACAGAGACGTATGTCAAGTGGTCTCCATTAGGTACATATTTGGCAACTTTTCATAAATTGGGTGTTGCATTATGGGGTGGCCCTCAGTTTGTACAGCAAGCTAGATTCAGTCAGAAAGGTGTTGAGTGTATTGACTTTTCACCTTGCGAGCGGTATTTAGTAACATACACTCCTCGAACTGATCTTGGTTCTGATCAAAAACGTTTGGTAATTTGGGATATTCTTACTGGTCAAGAAAAGCGTTCATTCTATGCAGACGGTTCTTCGGTGTGGCCCATTTTCCGTTGGTCGCACGACGATAAATATCTTGCTCGTATGGGAGAAGATATTCTGAGTGTTTATGAAACACCTGTACGTTCTTTTCATTCAATATAATATAAATCCTTGCAGTATTAGTGAAACTCTGGAAAATTACACCTTTTATAAATGTTGCAGTCGTTTGGTTTATTGGACAAAAAGAGTATAAAAATTCCGGGGATCAGAGACTTCAGTTGGTCTCCCACTGATAACATTCTTGCATATTGGGTACCAGAAGATAAGGATGTCCCAGCCAGAGTTACCCTTCTTGAGATTCCAAAGTAATCAGTCCATCTATTTCATATATCATTTTAATTATCATTCTAATTATCAGTTATTAATTTCTATAATAATTCATGATTTCAGCCGAAATGAAATACGTAACAAAAACTTGTTCAACGTAGCTGACTGTAAAATTTATTGGCAGAAGTCAGGAGATTATCTTTGCGTGAAGGTTGATCGTTTCGCCAAACGTAAAGAAAAGACAGAACAAAAATACACGGTACTTGTTACTCTGATCCTTAATATAATAAAAATGTCTATATGTACCTTGAAGAAGTAATATTTATTTTTATTAATAGGGAATGTCTTATAACTTCGAAATCTTTCACATGCGAGAAAAACAAATTCCAGTTGATAGCGTAGAAATAAAAGAACCGATTCACGCATTTGCCTGGGAACCTGTTGGCAGCAAATTTGCTATTATTCACGGAGACATTCCAAGCGTTAACGTTAGTTTTTATGAAGTACGATATGGTCATCAGCCTGCACTTTTAAGTAAGTAAACCTGAATAACTTTATACCAGCATATATTTCAATGCCAATTTTATTTGATAGAAAAACTAGAGAAGAAGGCCTGCAATCACCTGTTCTGGTCACCTTCTGGACAATTTATTGTTCTTGCTGGATTAACAACTATGGCAGGAGCTTTGGAGTTTATTGATACCAATGATTTTATCATCATGAACTCAACGGATCATTATCAAACTTCAGACGTAGAATGGGATCCTACCGGACGGTGTGTATATTTGTTTAAAAGATTTGTGAATATTATATAAATATTTGAACGTAATACATGTATGAATTTTATTGCAGGTATGTCGTAACTGCTGTCTCTAGTTGGAAAACTAGCGTTGATAATGGATATTGGATATGGACGTTCCAAGGTCGTATCTTAAAAAGAGTTAACCTTAATCAATTTAATCAATTGCTTTGGAGACCACGACCACCAACATTGCTGACAGCAGAACAGATTAAAGAAATTAAGAAGAATTTGAAGAAATATTCCGCGCAATTCGAAAGCAAAGATCGTATGCGACTAACACGTGCTTCAAAGGTATTTGAATGATATTGAATTAGTATATTTAATGTAAAATCTGTATTAAAAACAATTTATTTTACAGGAATTAATTGAAAAACGTTGTACTGCAATGAAAGCATTTGAGGAATACCGTTCAAAACGTGTTCAAGAATGGAATAATCAAAAGAAACGCCGTTTAGAATTACGTAATGGTACGTATTAATAAAATAGCAATCTTCTTTATAAGTAATACCTATGATTCACGATATTTATGTCATCTCTTCAGGTATCGATACCGATGAATTAGATTCTGATTCGAAGAATGTAGAGGAAGAAGTAATAGAATTTTTCGTCAAAGAAGAAACATTCGTTATTGACGACAAATAAAATTTTGTGGGAGAAGTTTTCCTGTCTGCCATTTTTGGAAATCTCTAGTGCAAAACCGATCCAGTCATTTGTGAAAAGTGTTGTCAAAGTAATTATCTCGTAATAGTCACGTTAATCGTGACTCTTAATAGTGAACTGAAATGATTATTCTAAGTGGTTATGAACAGTTTCTCTTATACCATTTCAGCACTTTAATTGGAATTTCTTCCACTTTTTCGACGTTACGTATAAAACGTCGTAACCATAGTACCATAAAGTTTTATCACGTTCCATACAGGATAGTATGTCAATCAACAAATAATTATTATCAGTATAAACATATGCAATGTATTATTTTATTTAACAAACCCATAATTTTGAGTTATTAAATTGAAAATATTTATTAAATGATCAGGGACACTAAGATATCTTATTTATATTTTTTTACTAATTTTAAGCGCATTGTAAACGATAAATGAAAGTACAAATCGATTAATTTGATCGATTATCTTTCTTTTTATTTCGTTCAATAATTGTTTTCCAGAAACAATTAATATAAATTAATTACATTCAGGTATAGATTATAAATAAAATCGCATATGGTAGATATTTTATACAAATGACTCGTGTTTAAAAGTAATACCTAAACAAAACAACGGCAGCAGATACCCACGCAGGCGGTATTCTGTCACGTTCGAGAAATGTTCGATTCGTCACTCGCTTCGCGCATGAAAATAAACGTTCATGTTCCTTTTGTAATTTGTTTTGTAACTGTTCATTTTTTGTCACAACTGCAATTTGAGTTTCTAAATCTCTCCTAACTGATCTGTAACCTGAAATTAATTTTTCTTGTATAACTTACAATTATTTATCCCTTAGTGTTATCTTACCAAAATTAGGGGATCCAATAAGAGTAAGACAAGGCTTTTCTTGATATGGTAACGAATACCATAATCCTTTTGCATGATATGTCCAGCCTGGCTTAACAAACTCCCATAAAGTTACTCTATTTTGTTGTCCTAGTTTGTTACAGTAGTCCATAAATGACTTTTCAATTTTTGTGTATGCTGCTGGAATACCTCCTGCCACGCCTTTTGCCGCTGTACACCATTTTTATGTTACATTAATTATAAAAATAATTTTATTTTATTCTCATAAAAATAACGTACTAAAGAAACCATTGGTAGTTGGATGCGCAGTCAAGAGGTGACATGTTCCCTGACAGTGTTTAAGTAACGCGTTAGTGTATTCGGAAGTTAAATTAAAGTAACCAGTTGCCAATTTTAATGTTGCCCCTGGAGGCGTAGTCTCCAGCATTTTCAGTGTTATCTGACTGTCGTGATAAATATTTAATTGACCCATTTGTATCAAAGGAAAGATCCAAGTATCTGTGTCGAAATCTTTTCCTATAAAAATAATTCAAATTAGGGAGTGGTTTCAATGTAAATCATATGTATATTTATACATTACCTAGATTTTCAAAATCAGAACGATCTTCTATTTCCCTTTGGAACAGAGTTTTCATGCTATTCGCCGCATGTTGAATGAACTTTGCAGGTGTTTTGAGAGGATGGATTTTTATGGCAGAGTTTAATACTGTAGTTCCATCTGGTTGAAGTACAAAACTGAAGTTTCCTACTCTTTCGACTAGTTCATTATAGAAATCACAGAGATCTTTACAATCTTCGATTAGAAAATAACGGTCTTGCCGGTTTGTAAAGTAATCATTACTAAGATTAGCACTAAAATATTAAACTGAATTTTATATTTTGCCAATTGCGTATTGAAATAACTTCGTGTAGCATTAAAGATTACCCGCTAATTATTATATCATTATCTATCATATACAGTTTCATGTGCTGTAATCCTACTAATTCATTGAAACGATCTGGTATAACCATTTTTAGAAATCCACGAAGTTTAGGAGTGTGATAAAGAAAAATTTGACAAGAATGACCATATTTTCCATTAAGTAATGGCTCCAACATTTTCCGCGAGTTTAATGTACCTCTAGATCCCCTCATAAAATCTAACAAAATTTTTACTTCAATGTTACCATTATTTATGTCTAAAGCCTGATCGATAGCTTCCACCTGAAACAGAAGTGTCATTGATTACACTGTTGCTAAGATCTTAGTTACTTGGATAGTTACTGAAAGTTCTTACTAAATTAGATTCTAATTTTCCTGTGCCTAAATATAATGATGCAAATGTTATTCTCTTCTTCGCATTTTTACATTTCTCAACAAGAGTGGAATAAAATATGCTTGGTTCATGAATTATTTTAATCTGAAAATAGAAAAATCAATGTAAGAAATACATTAAGCTCCTCAAATTGAACTTTAAATTTACCTTTGATCCATTGACAGGAAAACAAGGTGCACATTTGTACAACCAAGATAATATATGAAATTCCGGCTGTACTGTTTCCACTTCTAAATCTCTCTCTTCCGCTAACATACTAATTTGTGCAATATTTGTTATTGCAGGCAAACAAGACAGTCTTGATTCTCCTTGATCATTTATTAACAGCCTCTTTGTATGAAACCTAAAGTTCAATTTAAAAAGGATTTCATGCTTTTTTAAAATATATACAAAAGTAATAATAATTACATATTTACAGTGCTGTCATTCAAATTACAGTTTTATTGAAACAAATATCAAATTACTATCATGAAAAGAAATATAATAAAAATTATTGACACGTGCACGAATGACATTATACGTGTAAATAAAGAGTAGTATTATTATAAACAATATTTTATTAAATTACATTCAGTTTTTTTATATTTCATTCAATCTAACAGTCATTGTCACATGTATTACATTTCTTACGTTAGATCTACGACAGATAGGTTAACGTACCTTTATTAAAATTAAATCTATGAATTATGACACGACATATACGTTGTCACAATTTATTACATTATACTCACCGTTTTAAATTTTTACCAATCAAACTATGCATGAGTGAATCTTCGAATATAATGAAACATTAATAAATATTTTAAATTGCGTAGGACTGTTCCCACCTGACCATAAAGCTGCAACGCGCGCATATCCATATCGTTTAGACTTTCCACGTTACATAAAAATGTACAAATATTTGCATTTTTATGGAATCAGAAAGCAGAAGTTTCTCGTCTTTTTTCCTTTCATTTCCAATCATTACATCAAACGTGTTACAAGGATCTAACACGATTAATATTCTAAAATTGACGGGATTTAAATCCTGTCCATTTTATTCAAGTTGTAAATCAATTCATACTTTCCCTTTATTTGACATATGTGCCGTTTATAAAATATTATTTTATTAAGACGTATGAGTTATCAATAATTCGTACATTGTAAAATCTCTTATATTTTCCTGCAGTCGCTGCATTTTATTTTAAATCAATTTTCAAACCTTATATGCGCAAAATGTCGCGAAGCGCCTCTTCACGGAAGCACTCAGAATTAGTGGTCGATAGAAAATAAAGAGTAACAGGGGTGATCGTAGAAGATTCGTAACGAAACAGACTTAAAATGGATTTCAACGTTAAAAAATTAGTAAAAGATGCTGGTGCTGCACTTAGCAGGGTTGTGCAGGTAAAGTAACATCGCCACGATGATTAAACACATTTTTGTTGTCAAAAAAACACTTCTGTTAAGTTACTTGCAACTGTGAACACTGTCATTTCTGACATTTTATATCTTCTACAACGAAGACGAATTTATTATGAAATAATCCCAACTTGACATTTGATTTTTCTTCCAGCGTTTATATAATGACATGTTTTCTAATCGATTTTGTTTAATTTACGATTGTCACAATTTTATTCGTAACTCTCTCTTATATTCTGAGTTTAATTGGCGATCGAGGTTAGTAAAATATAGTAAATTTCAATAATTGTTTGTGTTCTACACTGTGCTATTCATTACATTCTTGTTTCTTGTTATATTATTTGAATGGAATTAGCCGTCTTTCTGGTTTGTTATTCTTAAACAATAAGAGAATGCAGATAGAGTATATCTGTGAGCTAAATAATTAATCATTCGATGACTCAGAACATATCAAATAAGTTACAGTGACTAAGACTGTTGTCCTCTTTAATTTCACGATGTCTTATAATGCTCCTCTGTACAGATGTTTAAAAACATGAGATTCAAAATAAAGAACATACCTTATTATAATATATTTTGTATTGATCAAAAAACTCAGTTAATGTAACATATTTTAGTTCAATATTTCTTCTTTTCAGTTGACAGAAGAAACATTGGGAACATCAGAGAAAACTGAATTAGATGCACATTTAGAATATCTTTCAGAAAGAGCAAATGCCACAAAAACATGGACTGAAAAAATTCTTAGGAATATGGAGTCAGTGCTTACTCCAAACCCAGGTTATACAAAATTCATTATGTATGTTTTAATTTGATTAATTTCAAATTAACATGAAATATCTTATTGCAGGCAATAGAATTGAAGACTTCTTTTTTGAAAAGATTGATAAGAAGAAACCTAATAGGTTGAGCAATTTAGAATATGTGGGTATGGATATGATAGAAGCTGGAAATGACTTTGGTCCAGGAATTGCTTATGGTTTGTACAGATGTTATTTTTTGTTAATATATTAAATTGATTCTTCTAATTTATATTTATATTTTAGGTAGTGCATTAATAAAAGTTGGTCAGTGTGAACAAAAATTAGGACAGATTGAAAGGAGTTTTATTGAAGCTGCAGCTAATTGTTATATACAACCTTTAAGGAAGTTTTTAGAAGGTGAAATGAAAACTGTTACCAAAGAGATGTCTATATTAGAAAATAAACGGTATGTATTTTATATAATTGTATCTAAGTATTCAGTTTTAATTTAAAACTTTGTTATTTGTAGATTGGACTTAGATGCCTGTAAGAATAGAGTGAGGAAGGCGAGAAGTATGCTTGGCCAGCAGAGTGTAAGTTCTATTATTTTACATTTAATTTAATTATGTGCTCTGTTTGTTTATTGTGTGTTTTGTCCTGTACATTGCTGCATTTCATAGGAGTCTGGTGTATCTCCTGAAGTGTTACTAGATCAGGTATTAATGGAATTGATGCCTTTGATAAATCAAAAGTTAACTAGTTTTCTTAAAGATATACTAGCTCACATCATGATTTTTTTAAAATCTTCAAATTCTTTGAATTCGAAGATCGCAGTATTTTATTCTTTAGTTTATATGAAACATGCACTCTTTCCGCTTTTGCTGTATGTGTGAACAAGCCATAAATGTTTCTTTTAAACATGTACTGTGTTTAATGAGTTGTAGAAAGAAATTTAAATAACACGTTTTAATTAGAAACATAAAATAAAACTGTTTATTGCTCTACTCAGGCAGAGAGGGAGCTGAGAGTAGCACAGTCGGAGTTCGACCGTCAAGCAGAAATTGTGAAATTGTTGCTAGAAGGAGTTTCAAGTTCTCAAGCTGGACACTTGCGTTGTTTGCATGAATTTGTTGAGGCACAAGCCCGTCACTACGCTCAGTGCCACGCAACAATGCAAGATTTACAACGTGAACTCGCCGGGTAAGACGAAAATTTATCTTGCAAGCTCCTTCTTTTCAAACTATTTCTTAATTATCCTGCACCATCCTTATACAGCTATCCCACTCTCTGGTGATCCGAGTGAGTAATGTTTAACAGTTATTGAATGTTATGTCATGTATGACATGTAAAAGTATTTAGACAAAGCTTATAGAACCATTACTCATTCGCAGAGATCATCATGTTCTGTAGATACTTATAAATATTATTACCTGAAATTTTGCTTATTTCTATAAATGTGACTTAGTGATTATTTTTCTTTTCAACGGCCACTGTGTTCTGTTGTAAATATATGCTTCATTGTAGGAATGGTATCTTTCTTTACTTTGGTTCTTAGTACGACTCTATGCTTATTATATTAATTTGTTCCTTTAATGTACTCTTTCTATTCTCTATCTTTGCTCGCATGATTGGGATTGCAGGGCGCGTCAACCGAGTCCTTTGCTGAGAGTCAACAGCGAAGATGTGATCGAGTTAACACCTTCTCCTTCCCAATCCCAAAATTCCCCTATATTTGCACCACTAGCTGGTGCTACCTATGTTACTGCCACCTTTGATACTAATACTGATACCGATACTTCAAAAGTTTAGCCTTAAAAATCAATATTGATATTCACTATAGGTGGTTACTAATTCTTGTATTTAAGATACAAGTAAAAACTATGACAATTTAGGGCACAGAATCTCTCCTTCTTAGTAAATAGTGTTTGTTAACTGATACAACGATTCTATAGAAATGTTAACTATTTTTAGTTTATGCTGTCATTGTTGAACTTGTAATTGTCAGAAATGAAATAATAAATTAAATTTTGAAATGCTTAATTAATTTTAATTTTTTATTAAAATTATACTTTAATCAGTCTTCATTTCTGATGCATGCCATTCAATTTTTTAGTGATTATCAAGGAGTAGCAAAGTAAATAACTTTTCAAAAAGTGTTATTTCCCAAAACTTTATACATTCTTCTAACACCTTTCCTTACTTTGTTTTCTGAGTAACCAATTGTTTTCCTACTTGTCTAATCGCTTATGCCTCTCTGTGTGTATTAATATAATTTCCAATTAATTACAATTAATATTTGTTTATGTTCAAGCATGTTTACTGTACAAACTATATATTATGTTGGCAATACAAACAATAAGAGGTCACATGTATTCTTCAAAAATTTTTCAAATAAAAATTCTTAAAATATCTCAATGTTTACAGTCATGAGATTTCATATTACCAACTTTTTGGTATTTGACAAGAACTATAAACAACAGAAAAATATTTTCACGCAATTTTTGCATAAGCCAAAATTGACTCACTTTCAAGAGCATGTTTATCATACTCAACCAGATTGTAATTTATCCTACCCAGCTTATCTGGGGGTCCTTATCATCCGACAACCCCACCAACATCCAACGCATCAACGGCATCAAATGGTCAAGAACGTGCAAGGGTATTGTACGATTATGATGCGAGGGATTCTAGCGAATTAAGTGTCATGCAAGACGAGGTAACGAAGTTTGTGATTTAGATAAGAGGAAGCATGTTACATTAAGGCCATATAAATGACATGTATCATTATTAAAAGTGATGTTGATTTATAGCTTTCTTGATGAAAAAAGATTTATCTTAAAAATTCACCTCCAAATTATTTAATTAGTCTTGCAAGAAATTTCTACAATTAGTGAATGCTGTCAATTGATGCATTTTTAGAAACTTTTATGAAAGCACATCTAATACGTAGTTTGTATGTTCGATAGCTACCAGGTTCAGTGCAATGTAATACATTTTGTAATCCACTTTACTATTAATACAACCTTAAGTAAGGGTTCTCACATAACTTAAAAGTGAATTTTGAAACATATCTGTAGCCTAAAGAGTTTTTCATATGTAAAATAGAAGTAGAACACTAAAAAAATAATGTAAATAAATTCTTATACCTTTGTGTATCGCTCGAATTGCAAGATATTGTAAAGTAAATGGAATAAGTATGTTAGAACTATGTAAGATACTCAAGTAAAATAGTTTAAGTACCCTGTATGTTAAAATCTGCATTTTTATAGGTTTGGCAATATAATTTTAAGAATTGTGCATGATACCTGTATCTTAGTCTTTTTAAGTTTTATATATGTATATTAGTTTTCTTATCTTTGTTAAATTTATTCTTAATGTTTAATACTTGCATTTGTTCTGGTTCGTTTGTATATTTGTTTAAATATCAGAAATTGTTATGCCTATACATTTAGTATGCATATAAACAAATATATATATGTATATTTATTCGAATCTTGCATGTATCAAATAAATCGTCATTTCATTTCGTTAAATGTATTTTATTTGTTTCCAACCTTATCAATACTTTCAGCTTCTATGGCTTGCTGATTTTGAATTAACTTTTTAAGTCGCAACGAATCGCATTTTAGATCTTTGGCTTAAAATTTCATCAAATTCAACTATCTTTTAGGTAATTACTGTTATTCAAATACCTGGTGACGAAGACTACGTTATGGGTACAAGAGGAAATCAACAAGGAAAAGTACCCAAAGCATATTTAGAAACGCTTATTGTTTGTGGATGAAAATTTCATTATTACCTAACCCACGTGCACATTCCATTGTATTTTGAAGTTTCACTCTGCCTTTGAATTTAATTGAAACTGACTTATTCATGTAGATATTCCAAGCAATTTCTCTGCTTTGTATAATAAGTTTCAAAAATACTCCAACTTCCAAAGTATATAATTATAAATATTGTATAGAAAAAAAACTATATGCTCATAAATTGCATATCAATAAACAAGCAGTCAATTCTTGAAGATACAAAAGGTCAAATACAGCTAGAGAATGTTTCTGTAATTATATACTGTTGCAACCAAGCAATCGTGTTCTTTAAATATTAAAATGATGTTATATATTAATATTGTCTATTATATAAATAAAATTATTTGTTGTTTGAAATAAACATTGCTTCGTGTAAACAGAAAATCATTAAAAAATGCTGTTTTATAATTTTATTGATAATCAAAAGAATATAAAATTACTTCTTTTTCGATACACCCACTGTACGTCCACGACGACCGGTAGTCTTGGTATGCTGACCGCGTACACGGAGACCCCAGTAGTGACGCAAACCCCTGTGGGCACGAATTTTCTTCATACGTTCCAAATCTTCACGAAGTTTAGAATCCAAGTAGGAGCTAGTGAGCTACAAAATAAAATATAATTCTTGATCACTAGTTTCCAACTCAAGTGTAAAATAATATAAGTAAACATTTGTTGTTGCACATTAACATTCTAAGTTTTAGTATGCTATTTAACTTGTAATGTTAACCAGCAAACTACTGTGCAGTTCCTTTAGCACGCACTACCAACTAATCATATACTTTAGTTTTATATGATTAGTCGTGATGTCGTGCCACAAGTAGTCATTGAAATTTAATTTATTTGTATAACAATTTGGTGATCGTACATACCTGTGAATATTTACCATCAACAATATCCTTCTGTCTATTCAAAAACCAATCTGGAATTTTGTATTGTCTAGGATTGGCCATTATAGTAACAATTTTTTCAACCTTATAACAAAGAAATTATGTTATTATGGAATAATAGAAAATCAAAACAAATGTAATTAGTAATGTTGTTAGTTCTTACTTCTTCTTCTGAACATTCTCCAGCGCGTTTGTCTAAATCAATATCAGCTTTCTTCAAAACAATGTTGGCATAACGGCGACCAACACCCTTAATTGCTGTCATAGCAAACATTACTTTTCTGTTACCATCAATATTCGTGCCCATGACACGAAGAATGTGCTGGAACTTCTCTGGAATTACGAGCGACTGCAACACAAATATTAAACGTCAATACTTATCAGTCACACATTGAGGTTAACATTCAAATTGATTTAGACAGAGAAAAAGATATTATAATACCAAGAATAGACAGATATTATCAATTTGCTCAAATAATTATTTTTATCAGAAGAAATTTTAAACCATAAAATGTATAATAATAAAACCATTACATTATAATACTTGAGCAGAAAAAGTGTACCGTAGAAAGTACGACACGTGATAAATTCTATTATTTTCCCAGAAAAGTCGGAAAATATTTTGATACTTAGCTATGTTAGCAACTTCTATATAACTTTCATTAAAAATTTAGTGTATCTGATATAGGATTTAAGCGAAAATTATAGATTTTAAGAAGTAACAGACGAAACTCACCATCTTGCCAATTCGTTTACCACTGAAAGAGACAGAACCGGAAGTACAATTTCCGGACTGGAGAGGGCGCAAATAGTCGATTATCGAATGAAAACTCGAATATAACTCGAACGTCATCAAAAATTTGTTGAATGCATCGACACCGTTCGAATTTTTGTCTTTGAGTGAAAATGAAGGTAAATTTGAACTTTTAAATATTTTTAATTGATCTACTCGAATGAGAAGCTTAACAATCATAATACAAACGTTCTGCATTTATGTATTAAATGTATAATTGTATTACAAAGTTCATAAATCCTGAACAAAAAATTAATTGGTAACAGAAAGTAAAAATCAGAATACAGATAAAGTTTTATTATAGAAATCCAGCATAAAATTATTTGCTTCCATAAATAAATGTAGTGTACGAAATATATAACAGATCAGTATTTAAAATTTTCAATGTATGGTATGATCGATTTATCGCAGTTGGTCGTAACTTCCAAATCGATCGATAGATGGCTCCTGCAGTGACGTGCTTGAAAGTTACGTGCTCAAATGTCAAACACTTAAATTTGGAAAAAAAATATGTAAGTATAACTAAAATACAAAAATATATTACAATTTAGAAAATTTAAAAACTCAGCTGTTGCTTAGGTATATATTTAGTGTTAGTCATTTTGTAAAATAGAAAAAATTCGTATTTGAATAATGTTAGTCTACAATTGCAAGTACATTACGACATCTTGCATTGTTAGTTGAGCAATTATGGCGCGAAACATAGCAAGGTAGGAAAATATGGTATTATTTTTATAATGTGTTAAAATATATAGTAGAAAGTACTGTATGCATAGTCTGAGTAATTTAACGATATTTAGGTCAATAATTAATAAGTTTACATTATATTAATAAAAATTTATTTGTTATAATTTAGATTTTCAAAGTGCCGCCTTTTGCGTAAATCGAGTGACAGTTGATAGGCAGCCATTATGGAGGGAAAACAGTTGAAGATGCGTGGTGATTAATTAAGGTATTTATACTATTAATAATTAATAATATACTACCATACTATTAATATTTAATAATTAGTATCTATTTTTACCCTAAATTAAACATAAACACATACAATTATCTTTCAATCGACTTAAATATCTTTCAATACTCTATCGCGGAATTTCGCGAACGTTCTCGAAATTTCCAAAAGCGTTCGTAATAAAATCTGTCCCGCGCGTACAATTTCGATAACTCAATAAAAAGCGAAAGACTGAAAAGTAATCGTGTATCTGCCCAGAGGAGGAGGGCAGTTTTCCATAGGATACGATTTCCGGAGATTTTCCTTCTTTCATCCCCGTATCCAAGAGGGTGGAGCAAAAACGAGCGTCCAGAGGGTAATCGGGCGAAGGAATCCCGAGGTATGATACCCCTCTGATTCGTTTTACGATGGTCGTTTCCTTGAATTAGGACGGAATAAGAAAGAATTCGTCAATTCACTGATTTCGAGCAATCCAGCTTTTATCTTGTTCGCGCTTGTGCACACATAAGCGTACGTCCCATAAAACGTGCAAAAAGTTCATATGCAGGAAACACCATACGTTAAAACGAGGAGGGGCTTTTATTATATTTTTGAGTATATTTGCTATGATGAAGATTTTTATAACGTTGATGCATGTGAAATCTTTAATATTTGATGTGTAAGGTAAGTTTGTGATTTTTGATCAATTTTTAATTGTTATTATATGGTTATAAGGCTAAGTTAAGGTAAGTTAAGTTAAGTTAGTACTATAAGGTTATAAGACTAGTTAAGTTAAGGTAGTTAAGTTAAATTAAGTTAAGTTAAGTTAAATCAAGTTAAGTAAAATTAAGTTAAGTTAAATTAAGTTAAGTTAAATCAAGTTAAGTTAAATCAAATTGAGTTAAATCAAGTTAAGTTAAATTAAGTTAAGTTAAATCAAGTTAAGTTAAATTATCACTATAAGGTTATAAGGCAAGTTAAGTCAAGCTAATTAAGTTAAGTTAAGGTAAGGTAACCATGTAATCAGGGAGTGTAAGCATGACATGTATTTGCGAGAAATAAGAGAAAATCTGACCATCGACCCGTTTAACAAGACAGGCATTCAACGGTACAGAGCACCTATGGTCAGCGGCACGTGCTGACATATGGGCTTTAGGGCTTTACTGCTATCCAGTGGTCTCTTTGCGGGGGTGGTAAATGGGGTGTCATCGTGTTAAATGGCCCTGATGCCCGCGGATCTATTCAAGGCGTACCTCTGCCAAGACTCAAAACCAATTCTTGCGGCTAATTTCCACCGTTTATACGTTTAATTGCCCTTTCAAGCCACCTGGACTACAGAAAACCGATTTCATCGAATAGAAATTGTCGCCTATTCATTTCCATTACCATCTAAGAACACGTTGTTATTTATCACTCTGTATATTCTCTCCAATTTTGTTAGAACATTTTGTTCATGTCTTCCACGTAGGTATCTTGTATTTTATGGCGAAAATTCGCGACGCTTCCGCAAATAAAAAAGAGGGAACTACTGTCAAATGCGTTGCGATGCGGTTTTATGACGGTGAATGAGAAAAGTTGAGGGGCCTCAGTGTGCATCATCTTCTTGTACCTGCATCTTTGTCGTCAAGGTCGTTCCTTTTCCCAAAAATCGACTTTCCAATCGGCTACTGAACGTTCTATTACCTGACGTTATTCTTCTTCAGGTAAGTCGGGCATAAATCATCGTCTCATCGACGATTAGTATTTATCATAACTTTCTCCTGGGTGCATCTTCCATCTAACTTTTCTCTTTCCTTCTTATATCAACATTCTATCATCTTATAAGCTTCTATAACCTTATATCAATATTCTAATGATTCTCAATTTTCAGATGAGGTGCTTGAATATTTTTAGCAGTAAGCTTCAACATTTTCATCTTAGAGGAGCTCAGAAGGAAGGTGATAGTCTACTGTAGCAGCTGATTATACTTATTCTAAATTTATTATAAAATTATACTTTATCGTATCATAATCTTAGGACTTGTATCTTAGGAATAATCTGAGGAATCGATCAGATAAATATGTAGGCATCCATATTTCTGCGAGAAACTTTCTACAGCTCATGGAAGTATGATCGGCAATAATGCACAGTACGATCGTGTTGAAACGGTGACCGTGACGAAAGTCGATTTCCCAGCACGGTACAATTTCCAGCAGCCTCCTCGGCTTTGCAAGAGCCACCCGCAATCTTTGTCGGCAAACAGGGGCTCGTAAATTACGGTACGAACGTCTCAATGTTGGCAGGACCCTAGCTTCCCATTGTCTACGGGGCACCAACGTGTTAGACACGCACCCTGAATTCGAGTTAACCGAAACAGCTCTTTCAAATGGCTGACTAGGCCAATGGAAACACATTTTCTATATCAAACGTGTCACATTTGTATCTTTGATCTTAAACGTTGCTATGTATCATTCATTATATCATTCTTTTATCAAACGTTTAGTAGTAAACTTCTATAAGTAAACTCTTTTATTAATGAGCAAGCTATATGCTCATTGTTGAAATTATTAGCAAGAGAACTTTCTAAATGTATTTAAGTAAATGTATGTATATATGTATGTATGTATGTACACATTTATATGTATGTATGTATGTATGTATGTATGTACAAGTTTCTACATATGTATGTATGTATGTCAGGTTGAAGTAGCAGGGCAATATATTAGCTATATATTATTAAACTTAACAAACCTTCTATTGTAAACACTCCACAAAGAGCACATAATTGTACAGAAAGATATGCTTCAAAGATTGAGAAACCTTTGCAATGAAGACTAGTCAAAAATGAAAAATATTGTACATAGAATAAAATGTAAAGTTATCTGTGGTAAAGTAGCAATATAACAATTGTATTAAAAACGAAAGGCAGATGAAAGTTGCAATGAAGACCAGTCAAAAATGAAAACTATTGTACATAGAATAAATTGTAAAGTTATCTGTAGCAAAGTAGCAATGTAACAATTGTATTAAAAACGAAAGGCAAATGAAAGTTGCAATGAAGACCAGTCAAAAATGAAAACTACTGTACATAGAATAAACTGCAAAGTTATCTGTATTAATGTAACAATGTAACAATTCTACTAAAAACGAAAGGCAAAGGAACCAAAAAAGAATAAAACGTAGCTGTAATAAAAGAGCTCCGAGCCAAAGAAAGTCATCTCGAAAGATTTATTTAGTTCCTTTGCATCCCGGGCTGTACCTTTCGTTTGATAGACACGTTTCCACACGAACACAGATAACTTCTTGGCGTCCATGTATCTCGATGTGTATACGTATCTTGAACATAGAAGCAGCTAAGGCTGTGGCGTCGGGGCGCAGGTGGCGATGCTCAAAGCCAATTATGCGAACGCGCCCCGACGTCGACGTCGTTCTCGCAAATCCCTATCCTCGCATTTAAAGCTGCGAGAGGGGTGCCACCACAGAGAAACCAGACAGTGCGAGAGAGAAGTTTAACTTGTCTACGCTATAACGGATTAACGGCCACGATTTATTCGCAAGTAATTGCTTCCGCCCTTTAATTAACTCGCATTTATTTCACGTAATGGCGACCGCTTGCCAGCCGTACACGAACTTTTCAACGGAACTGCTTCAAGAAAGAAGTTCTTCTTCGGAACGAGCTTTTGTTACTTTACCTGAGGTTTCTCTTTCTTATTGGTCATTTTTATGGAGTTTGGATACTTTTGGAGATTGTGAAGCAGCTAGAGCTTGATATTTTTGTGAGATTGTTAAGTAGCTGTAAGAGTTTGAAATTTTAAGATCAATGTTAAGGTTTATTGTATACATGGAAATTTATAAGGGTACTTTTTAAGCTATCAAACTTGTAAGTTGTAAAACTGGATGAATTTCAATATCTCTTTCTTATTGTTAATTTTTATGGAGTTTGGACATTTTTGGGAGATTGTAAAGCAGCTAGAGCTTGAAATTTTTGTGAGATTGTAAAGTAGCTGTAAGAGTTTGAAATTTTAAGATTAATGTTAAGGTTTATTGTATATTTGGAAATTTATAAAGGTACTTTTTAAGTTTGCAAACTTGTAAGTTTTAAAATTGGACTTGTAAATTTTAAGATTAATGTAAAGATTTATATATTTGGAAATTTATAAAGGTACTTTTTAAGTTTGCAAACTTGTAAGTTCTAAAAGTGAATGAATTTTAATATCTCTAAATTTTGAGATTCCTAAGTTCCTACATTCTCAGATACTAAAAGTAGTATATTTTCAAACTCTCAAGGCTGCAGATGGTAAAATATCAAAATTCTCAAATACATAAATTCTCAAGCACCCAAATTCTCAAATTGTTAAATGTTCAAATTTATAGATACTCAAATCTCCAGATCCTCACATCCTCAGATCCTCACATCCTCAGATCCTCACATCCTCAGATCCTCACATCCTCAGATCCTCACATCCTCAGATCAGATCCTCACATCCACATCCTCAGATCCTCACATCCTCAGATCCTCACATCCTCAGATCCTCACATCCTCAGATCCTCACATCCTCAGATCCTCACATCCTCAGATCCTCACATCCTCAGATCCTCACATTCCTAACTTCTCAATCTTCCAAATTCTCAAATTCTAAAATCTTCAAATCTCCAGATCCTCACATCCCCAATTTGTCACATCCCTAACTTCTCACATCTCCAAATTCCCAACTTGTAAACTCTTCAAATCTCCAGATTCTCACATCCCCAAATTGCCACATCCTCTACTTCTCAAACCTCCAAATTCTCAACTTCTAAATTCTCCAAATCCCCAAATCCTCACATCCCAACTTCTCAAACCTCCAAATTCTCAAACCCCAAAATCTCCAAACCCTTAAACCCTCAACCCCCAACACCCAATTTTCACTTCAAACTAACATTCACCACCTTCTCCAACGTACTCTCTCCCTTCTTTCCTCCCCTCTGTCCTCTCTAAGTGTTCAATAAACTTCGTAAAACCTCTCCCGCGACAGAAAGATACATTACAGCACAGTACACGAATGAAAAAAGACCGATATCGTAGGGGGTGCAAAAAGTTGAATGTTCGAGCAAACTGGGGCTCTCGGAGAGACTCATGGTCGCCATTTTGAGAACGATAAAATATCCTAGGGGTTGAGTCTTATCTTTCCTATTATCGATAGTTGGCAGAGGACCAATATGGCCACAGTACAGTCGCCATGGTTACTTCGGTGTACTCGGTCCAGGAACGGGGATCCCATCATCCCTACTATTATCGTGCCTTGCCATAAATAACAACCAGCCACTTTTTCATCTTGCTGGAAATACGTCCGACTTCTTTTTCGGATGACTATGAATCTTCTTGCAGAATTATTTTAGTGAACGATTGGCATTTTGGCTAATTGGAGTTTAGAGCATTTTTTGGGTTTAGAGGATTTTTTCGGATTGTTTTAGGATTTGGTTGGAGAAATTTGTGTATGAGGTTTATTGAGGCGTGGGGGTTTGCAATTTTTTAATTTTGGAATTTGGAGAGATTGGGACTTCTAGATTTTGGGATTTCCAGATTTTGGCACTTTAGGACTTGCAATTTTGTGAGTTTGGGACTTTGGGATTTCGGGGCTTCTAGATATTGGAATTTCAAGGATTTTGGACTTTAGGATTTGCAACTTTGTGGATTTGGGATTTTAGGATTTCGGGATTTCAAGATTTTGGCACTTTAGGACTTGCAATTTTGTGAGTTTGGGACTTTGGGATCTCGGGGCTTCTAGATATTGGAATTTCAAGGTTTTTGGACTTTAGGATTTGCAACTTTGTGGATTTGGGATTTTAGGATTTCGGGACTTCAAGATTTTCGGACTTTAGACTCGCAATTTTGAAATTTCTGAATTTTGTGAGTTTGGGACTTTGGGATTTCGGGGCTTCTATATATTGGGTTTTCAAGGTTCCTGGACTTTAGGATTAGCAATTTTGAAGTTTTTGCATTTTCTGGCGTTGGCACTTCAGGATTTCAGGACTTCCAGGCTTTGGGATTTCAAGGTTTTAGGGCTTCGAAGCTTAGGACTTTGTAGTTCAAGAAACTTTCTGAGGTACTACTGAAATTTTGAATACTCTAACTTGAAATTTAGGTCCAACTATAAGTTCCATTATCAAGGATCCTTTGGTCCAAGGAATATAACATAGTTACAACATTTTAATTCGTTTTAATGTTGTAGCCCTAAATAGTTAGTCTTGACGCATCTGATAAAATGACACGGGAAAGGATTAAGCAGCTTCAAGTTTGAACTTCCAACTCTAAAATTCAAAAACTATGTTCTAACTATTCAATTGTAATGTCTATTCCAAGTTAAATTATTTCAAAATTGTTGTGCTACAAAATTTCCGTAATTCTTGCAAAAGATTAATAATTGAAACCGAAGGCGTCGGATTCGAGCATCGACACGGTAGATCGATTGCAAGAAGTTCTTCCAGGGGTAGCTCTTTCAGAAAATGGAAAGGCCGGAGGGCGATGATATCGCTGACGAGAGCCGCCGTATTGGCTGCCACCC